GAAACTAAATGGCCTTTTTTAATCTTGACTTTGTATAAAAAAAACCTGAAAAACTAGAAATCTTCACACGTTTGGTTTGGGACAATAATATGCTTTTCAACCATTGGCCCATTTTGAAAACATACATATCAACATTTCCTGCTCATAGAACCAAACATGACTCTATAGGCAGGACTCTATGACCCTTCAGGGCCACTGTATTATAAACAGCAAATCTAAATACTAAGGGGGATTTACCATTAGGCAATACTAGGCTATTGCCTAGGGCCCCAAGTTCATCAGAAAGCTGATAATATAAAGTGTGTCTCACCCCCCCCCAGACAGCAGCAAACCATTTGAAAACAAACGATGCAAAGAGCAGTGTTGCTAACTTAGCGCTTTAGTCGCTATATTTAGCCACTTTTCAGACCCCTCTAGCACTTTGATTTCTAAAAAGCTCCTAGCGCCAAATCTAGAGACTTTTTCTGCTACTGGAGACTTTGGAGACAACATCTAAAAGCAGCGAACTCTGCTCTCCAAAGCGAATAGAAAAGAAAAATATGTCTAACTTTGATTCATTTGATTCCTCCACGTTCAGGCCCCCTTTCTGATTAGATATTGTTTTTTTCTATGTTACAGAGTGTTGTTTATAGCACAGTAAATGTTACTGAGTAACAATAAGTGATCTGCAGTTATGTGGAACATTTTTCTCACAACATGCATTATTTTCTATATTCTGGTGATTTTTAGATAATTGAAATAAAGCAGAATGGCCCTTACTAAAATATTTGCATCTTAAATATACTGTAAACTAAGAATTTTACAACTTTGTTTATTAATTCTCTGCAGTTTAGGTAAAATAAACAATGGGAAACTAATAAGTCGTCACTGGATTACTGGACAGGAACCAGTGCAATCAAAACCATATGCAAACTACACTGTATGAATATATTGGTAATAGGCTAAGGATTAAAAAGTTTCATTCATTATGTTATTAGTTTTTCTTACAATTAACAAAACAGTTAAACAATTCAGACCTTCTGGGAGGCTGTAGATTTTATAAAAACTTACCATGACACAAGACAGCATTTCTATGGAATTTTCATTTGTAAAATGTGATGGAAATTAAGGTAACATATTCAACGCACCAAAATAAAGATAAATTAATAAGATGAGAACATCTCTGTGGTTCTCCCTTTATGAATCCTGGATCAGTGAGTTGTTCTGCACATCCTCTCTGGATGTGGTTGGTCTTTTCTTGGGTCGCTGATCTTTTGATCTTTTTGTTGAGCTTTTACGGGTTTGAGAGGCAAACCTGAACTCAAGTGCTAGATTGCTTAAAATCTTCAATAATTTACAAAGAGAATTATCCTAGTGCGCATGAAATGAGATACAAATTAAGATGAAATGCCTTGTAAGAA